ATCAACAATTCACATTCGCTTTATTCATTTTTGTAAAGGGAGAATTCGGAAATAGTTTGAGCCCTTGCCTCGCAACGCTGCCAGTTCTGTTAGCTCTACGCCTGCTGAAGACACAGACATCCATCCCCGTGAACACTGGGACAGAACTCAATGGGAAAGGAAATGATTCTTATTTCAACCGTTGCATATATTAGCTGCGAATCAAGATGCTATGACCGAAAAAAATTGATTGACAGATGACCTTTGATATATGATTGGCTGAATTCAGGTGTTCAGGCTGACGTATAACTAACTGGCCTGCAGAAGATAACGAAGAAAAAACACAGATTTTAAGACAGAATTTCTTTTTTAAATAGAATTTTTCTAAATATTGGGATAATATCGTCTGATAAAGAGTACATTTAAATACATGTGTAAGCCAGAATGATTTGACATTTAAATATGATTTTCCTATGACTTTAAAGGTTTCTAACCTGCCGATTGCAGATCAGGAGTTTTCTTCTCCCATCTCGATGCAGGTTTAGGGGAAAGAACAGAGAAAACAGGAAAACTGAGCGTATGGTTAAATTTTGATGATGTGTCAAACTGTTGAGAGCCGTGTGAGTGGAGAGCCAGGAGGGAATAGCAGTCATGTTGGGCTTGTTGTGCTGAAATACAGGCTGCAAACAGTCAGCAGTTATCAGGGGGTGATGATATTTCTTTCTTTTTTTCTGCTGATGATCATCTTACTTTAGTCTGTGTTCAACAGGCGGTGGGCAGTGGGTGACAGGCATCTGACTAAAGCTGAGGGGGAAAATAGGATATTTTTCTTGTTGGGGGGGAGAAGTAAAATGCAATATTTATGCTTTCTCAGCGGTCGGGTAAAGAATAAGGATGTGCTGACAGCGTCAAGCTGCTTTAGCTCGAGAAGATCGGCGCCACACTTCAGCAGATGATTGCTGCAGACAGAGGACAATGTGGACAGAATTGATCTCAGTGTCTTAAGGATACGGTTCTAAAGACGGAGAAGGAGCAGTGGGCATGAAGAGTCAGCAGTTTGCTGCTGATGTTTATTCAGATGCATTAATGATCGATAAAACTAAAATCGATTTTTATGGTTCTTTTGTTTTTCTTGAAAGGGGAGTTTTTCTTGTTCTGCAGAGTTGACAGTTTGTTGAAGTCTCACTGGTGCTGAGGCGCTGTGCAGTCAGAGACCTGATGCCTCCGAGTCTTCACAGGCCTGCTGGTTTCCTTCATTTGGGCTCTAATTACAGTCGGTCATCATGACTCTCCATCCAAACTCTAATCAGGCTCTCTGCCTCATCCCAGGCCGGTCCAATCCGTCATCAAAGATTTTCTGATACACTTTGCCTCCAAATCTTTCTTTATAAAACTCTGTCTTGCCTTTACAAATATTTCCAAGTTTGATTTATTTTCAAAAACAATAAAAAATTATTTGATTTTGGTAATTTATGGCTTTTAAATAAGTTAGAACTGTCTAAAACTTGAACAGATCATTTGGAATCCATCTCATCCTCGCAATAAATTGTTCCTGCTAATCAAACCTTTTTTTCTTTTTGCATCCAGATTGTAGAAACGCAACATTTCACCAGAAATTCATCCCCTTTCTACAATATCTTTTCAAAATGACAAACCTTTGTATCTAACTGCATACTGGACGCAGACCCTCTGAACTACATAGAGCCTTTCTGACCACTAAAGGGTCACACTGGGGCCAGGGGTGATGTCACACTGTTTGTGTGAGACAAGTCTGCTGCTAAACTGGATTTAGCCTGCTTTAAAAAGGCAAAACGATTACAAAACTTACTTTACAAGTTGTCCTTAAAAAGCCTGATGATCGTGATTACCATAATTGGTAATTTGGCACAACTAGCACTGTTGGCATTATTGATTATAAATCCCTCTGTAGATCCTAGTAGACTGAGGTTTCAAGGACTGCCAACAGAATAAAAGGTCATAGCTGCCACTTTTTCATCAAAATGATCAGTTTGAAAAAACTAGCTCAGGTGTTAGATTCTAGTAGCTCCATAATAGAGCTGAGAAATGGCTTCTATTGAGGTTGAATTGTCTCTATAGAGTGCCTTGAGATGATGTGTTGTGAATTGGCACTATATAAATAAACTGAATTGAATTGAATTCTTCTTGGAGTTACATTTCTTAGATTGCCTTTGTGAGTTCTCAGTCATCTGGTTGATGGCAACCGTGAATCAGGCTTAAATTGGAGGCAATCTGACTTTCATTAAACTGTAGCTTCGCCTGGAGGATGTAGTTGCATATGGTGATGAGGGGTTATGGTGTCCCAGCTTGTTCCTACCTTTGTGCTAGCCGCTTTAGAGGAAAATCCTGGATAGGTGTCCAAACGTCTTCATAAGCCCAATTTACTCTACCCTCTGAAAACTAACGCGTGCAGAGTTCGTACCCAGCTTGGATCAGTTAACCGTACCGAGCTCAGTTGCTTACGACTGTTTACACACCATGCTAGCACGGTTCCTCGCCTCCTAGTGACGATCTGTGGTACTACCGCTCTCTCGAGGTAAACAAACAAATCAACATGGCGGAGCCAGTAACATTCAAGAACTTTTGCTATAATTGTGACATTTAGTTGTTTGCGGGGAGTCAGGTGAAGAAGGCAGCTTTAGGTCAATTTACTTGACAGAAACAGCTTTTGGGAAGTGGATACGACAAAAGATAGTCTAATCAGGGCTTACAGACACAGGAAACAACGACAGACGTTGCGGTTTATCACACTGCTAAGCAGAATCATAACTGGAAATCGTGTGGCACGGTAGGGATGCTAGTATTTTTATCTTTTACACTGGAAAAAATCTAAATCTAGATAAGTCATTTTTTCTTAAAATAAGTGCATTTGTTCTTGGATTAAGGATGTAAAAAAAAATGTTGCCAATGGAACACAACAATGTAAATATAAAATAGGAAAACACAATTGCATTGTCTTATTTCAAGTGTATGTTATCTATTTATCTTATTTTAACAGTAAAAATACTCATTCCATTGGCAAACTATCTCATTTACCTACTCAAATTAAGGGTAAATACACACACTAACAAGTATAGCCAGTTTCAAGTCACCAAAAAGCATCTCAATAAAATCAAGGTCCGGGCTTTGACTAAACCTAGAAGTCCCATGCCTAGTCTTCCTTTCCTTGGTGGATATCCTGGTATTTTCTGTGATAATAGACTGAGCAGTTCATCCTCACACCATGACACATCCACCTCCATGCTTATGAAGCTATTTTCCTGAAATGTTGGATCCGGTTTATATCCAACATGTTCACTAATCTGCTAATGAGGTAGATAAGTTAGACTCATCTCTCCAGATAACAAGATCTCAGCATTCCTGGTCTTTTTCTATGTCCTGTTCTATAATAACTGATCTAGGAGATTAGTTCTCCTAGAGAGATCACTTTTTGGCATGACCTTGTCTGTACAGCTAGAAATGTGTATGTTGGTCGTTACTTTAAATATTCTCCTGACAAACTTTCCTATTCTTGACTATAGAGAGACTATTGTAGGATTAAATATCTTCTGAGTTACTCTCTGTTTCCAATAGCAGTGAAAGTCCAACCTTTGTTTGTTATATAAAAATGTTGGCTTTGCTTTGGACTGAAGCATCGTTTTATTGCTGGATAACCCGGATCTTGGCTGGGATCGAATGAAGGCTGATTGATGTAGAGAAATGGGGGGAGGGAGATGGAGAGGATTGAGATTTATGTGGACTCGCCGGGAGGCAGATGTTTCCCTCTAATCCGAGGGTTTAGAGAAAGATGCAGGGATAATGAAGGACAAAGGAATGGCGGATATTCACCCTCAGCTCCTCTCCGTCTCTCTTGCTGCTTGGTTTTCTTTAAATGA